TGGTTAAGGGTTAACAAATATGAGGAAAGAAGATGTGGCATATAGGGTGGAATTTGCCACCACTTTCTAGCAATTTGAGATTATGGGAAGGAGAAGGTGGAAAAAGGAAATAGAATGAGTATGGCTGACATAGGTTCCCAATTTCCCCCTCTTTTGCTTTTGGAAGGCAGATGTGGAAGAATGCTAGATAAATGAGCAGAGCAAAATGCTGAACACAAAGCGGGCTTCTTTAGGACTCTGTGTTTCAAATCCTGGAGGAAAACCACATCTTGAGCCATTCCTGCACCTACTCATGTTATGATTAAACTTGGAGCCACATGGTAAGGACACAGAATATTAGTCTGCAGTTAGCTTTATTGGGCCTTCTTTGGTTTCTGTAGAGAAGGGATGAGATGTAGAAACAGCTAAAAATATCGGTGTGAGGAGTGCCCAAAAAGGGGTCATATGGTGGGGACAAAGGGTGTTTTTAATAAGGGCACCTGATTGAACTCAACTTTCCAAGCTAAGGTCGACTAGGAGCTCTATGGTACCTAAGAGGGCCCAAGTAATTCAGGGAGTGTTAGTCAGCCCTAGCCAAGCTAGAAGAGCCCCAGTCATGACCTACACTAGGTGTAACAAGCAGTCACCAGCTTAAAATGTGCATTTAATTTGGATATCATAAGTCACCAGACCGAAGACTCTGTTCCCTCACACACCCTATTAGAAAGAGAATCAGGGTGTCAGAAAGCTATCTGAGTGACTGAATGTTTTATCCAAAAGAGACTGTTTATTTCTAAAATGACTATTTTTATTACTGAATTGACTAATATTTTGTCACTGATGTAAAATTTTTTTACATGAGTTATATAGTGGGAGCTCATGAGGAAAAGTGTGATTTATTAATTGCATTTTTCTTCACATCTAAGTTGTACAATGAATTATACTTATGACCTTACTATATTTATATGTCCTGGGCATACCTCTAAGTGATCTAAGCTGAATCCTACAGTGGATAGAGGGGCTCAAGAATAACTGGCACTATCTGTCATTATTCTCCTTGGATGAAGTCTGGATTAGTAGTTGCCATGGACTTAACCCTGAGGCATATTGTGCAGAATGAAGTCAGAACACTTAATTCAAGTATGTGTATGAAGAGACATCAAGCAATAGAGCATCGTGAGAATAAACGTCTAGCTGTCCAAGTGAGGCTAATATAACACATACTTCAAGAAAATGCGTGGGGGAAAGGATGTTTGGCACCATTCTTTAAGCTCTCTGTGTTTGATATTAGCTAATTCACTTTCTGATAATAGATTCTATCTCACATCTTTTGAGATATTGCACATATGGTGAATACATTCCCACAGAGTTTGTAAATAGAAAATATGAGGATGATGAAGACCAGTAGTGGAATTAAAATGTGAAGAGATTCATCTAAGAGTGATGCTGGTCTCATGAAGACGATGAAAGTGGAAACCTTTAATACCCAGGCCCCGGGGACCACATTTGTTTTTATATTACTACTGTTAAAGGTTTATTAAGTCAATTAAAATTAAGCAAACAAATAAAAACATTTTAAAGACAGGAGGTGGGAAACAGATTCTTTTGTGAAAAGGACAGTGTATACCAGAACATCTGTACCCTATGTTCATTAACTAGCCTGAATTAGCTTAACTTCCTTGAATTTCTTGGATAAAATCAGTAATTTTCCGAAGAAGTTTTGTTTTCCGATGGCTTGATGGTTGGTGGTGGACTCTAAAGGTGGTGAGGAGATGGCAAGTAGGTTGGATTCTAGGACTTTAAATTACCTCTCTCTCACTCCTCACGCAACAACACATACATGGACTGGTCATAACTCTTATACTCTGAGGTTTTGAATAAGATGACATTAGAAAAATGGCCACACTGCTAAATATAACATTTCAGAATATTTTTTTCTGGAGCACCCTTAAGGATATGTTCTATTTCAAAATTGTATAAATTCTTATGCTTGGAAAAACCAACCCCAAATCCATGGCACCAGGAGAACAGATGGGTTGGTTTACCCTCTCTGTGTCCCTGTTTCCTCTGGCTATGAAATAAAAGGCGAAAATAAAATAATTATTGTCACTTTTAGCTGTAGCATTATATGTGCATCCATGGCCTGGCCTACTGGAACCATGAATGGAAAAGACTCCGGATCTGGGCAGTCAGCCTGCCCGTAGGATCTGATCTTATAAAACTCTTTGGAATTCTGCTGATCCTAGGTTTCGTGCCCAAGAGCAGAGCACAGGCAAAACTGAGGAAGGTGCTACTTGTATATTGATGAGATTGTCACAGTGCATTCACGGAGCAAGGAGTGACATCTAAGGGCAGGAATGGAGGCAGCTTAAGTTGGTAACACCTGTGGAGAGAAGTCAGCCTTGCCTTCTGGTTCTTGTTCAATTCTTTTTTTTTTTTTCCTCCTGCCCAGATTTCTTTTTTTTTTTTTTTTTTTTTTTTAGCCTGGTGACCTATAAAAAGTCCCTTAACCTGCCTTTATCATAGAGATCTCCATCTGTAAATGAGGTATTTGGACTGTTTGGACACTGCAAGTCTCTCTTGGACAGGAAGAATAGACAATAAGGAATTCTTATCCATAACTTTTTATATTTGCTTTTGAGGATATATCTGAAATGATAAGATACAGTGGGGTCAGAGTTGGCTACTCAAGTAGTAATCTAAGGAAATAAAGTTGTTTTGAAATTAAGATTTATTTTGGCTCTCTTCTGAATCAAAAAAGATTCTAATTTTGGGGAGCTTTAACACACCTAGAAAATTCTGGGAATACTGATGCCTGGGCCCCAGTGCAGATCAATTAAATCAGAATATTTGGGAGCATTTGGGTTGTGGATTTATTTTAAAATCTCCCCAGGAGATTCTATTGTTCAATCACAGAAGTTCAACACTTCTGTGCTGAAGAAGTTGACCACGATTTAGAAATGCTAAGTAACTACCACACTATTTGTTTTGAATTTAAGTAGGAAAGGTAGCTCACAGAAATTGTTGAGGTGAGAAAAACACTTTCTTATTGCAGTGTGGAAGCATTGTGAATATAAATGCAATGGAAGTTCTGTCTGCAAAAGAAAGGATTATAAAACTTCTGTTGACAAAATTTTACCTTTGTACTTTGGATATTTTTTATAGACCCGAAGGTGAATTTGTGAGCTTCAAAATGTTGAAATTTATTTTTATTTGTAGACATTCCTGATACAGCCATAACTAATATATCTGAGTTTAATCACCATTGGTTCTTCTGAAAAGCACTTCTGGAAACCACAAAGAAGTAGGAAGTCTTTAATTCTGCATATTTTCAGATTGTGGGTAGGTTGGAAAAAATAAAGATATAAGTGCTCATTATAACTCCACATGGCTAGCTATGGGCAATTCAAACTGTAATAAGTGACAGATTCAACATGAAATGTTTATGGGCAGGGGTCATTCTGTGAAAGGAAATGGAATTAAGTGGCCCATTTGCTGTACTCTGGAAATATGTGCATCATATAAATTGGGTTAGAATCTCTGTCACATGTGAGCAATGAACACAGTGGGAGGCATTGCATTTTCCCAATTGTCCCACATGATGGATTTTTCATGTCTTGAAAAGATCTGGATTTCTTCAAATTGTTTAGCACAGAAGAGAAGCAGATTTTCTGATTTTCATGAGAAGTGATCTTTTGGAAATACATTTACAAATGTTTATCAAAGCACTCTTTGAAGTAAGATTTGTTTTCTGATGTGATGTCTCCTCATCCACAATTTCAACACTTTCCCTTCGGAAAACATCACTGAGTATCAGTCCCAGATGGCATTAGTTAAAGATGAGCATTCACAAAAAATGTTTACTAATGGTAAGTGATATATGACAAAACAACATGGAGGCAGTATTTTTACTATCATAACTATTGAAACAAAAAGCCTTGAAGATTAGTTTGAAAGACATATAATCCAAACTTCTTATATATTTAATATATATTGACTGTCATGTGTCTGTAGTGTATTAGATGATAGACAGGAATAAAAGGAAGTAAGGTTTTTTTTTTCAGCGAATAACTAGAAATATTACTCTACAAACATGCTGGATGTTACAAATTCTGCAGTTGAGACTTTATAGAAACTCACTCATGAGAAGGAAGGGCACTAGCATAGCTGCTTCTAGTGAGAAAGTAATGAAAGTCCTTAGCCCACAAATCAGATTTTAGAAATATCTACTAATAGCAGTAGGTATTCCTTTTAGGGGACAACTGTCTATTTTTAAAGATTTTATTTCTATTTTTAAGTAATTTCTACATTCAATGAGGGGTTCAAACCTATAACCCAGAGATGGAGAGTTGCATGCTCCACTGACTGAGCCAGTCCTGCTACATGAAAAATGACTAAACTGATTTATTTGAAATATTTTTATCTTAATAACATAGAAAACCATCTAACTGACTTCATCAAACATTCTAAGTATTAATTTGCTCCAAATCCTTATGGTTAAGTCAACAGTTAATTTTGCAATGGCCAGTTCTGATAGAATATCTAAACTCATAGTTGGCTTATTTTTCTGAAAAATTTTATCTTAAAGTTACCAGATATTTTCTTCTTGGCAATAAAAGATCAGCAAACCAGTTACATCGTATAATTCTACTTCAGCCACAATTCCATGGCTCACATTGTTTCTAAGTGACGGTATTGATCTAAATCATTTTGAATGACTAATTTCAGAGAAACTGGCTGGTCAGAGAAGGAAAAGCAATTGAGATTGGTCATGCCAGTACCTTTCTATCATAAATGACCCAGTTGACAAGTTGAGCATGAGGCTTGTTTCTAAACCTATTTCTACAGTTTTGCTTTTCAGTTCCACTTTCAATAGTCATGACTTCTATTGATCTCCCTCAAGTTTAGAATAAAACGTTTTCTTGATTTTCTCATTATGCCATATACTTCAAAATGTTCATTTCCAAGGGGGTTTTATTGAGATGAAAACTTTTCTTTTAAATAACAAATGATATACTTACTCTTTTGGAAACAATGGTAGACAGGTCCAGGCCAGTAAATTGGCATTATTGGTTGCACAGGAAATCCCAAACAATCTTATAGTTAGCATGGATTCCTTTGGAAGTGACTTTATTTCAAGAGGAAAATTGATCCTAAGAATAAAAGAAGTATTACTCAGTTAACAAAGATGTTTTCATAGATGTTTCCTTATAATATAATGGTATGCGATAAAACTATTTGAATTGAAGGATCCTTTTGAACTTTTGTGTTTGATCTTGTAAAAATGGAAACACAGCAAAAATACATAAAAAGGTGAGATTGGTTATTTAATAAATGTGGATTGCTTTAATTATAATTTTGAGATGTAATCTTATTTTTAAAAATTACAGTGCCAAGCATTTACTCTTTATAAACACAGAGGAAATAATGACTAACATTGTCTTACGGAATGGGGGGAAGGAAAGAAAGAACTTGCAACAAGTCTTAAAGCATAAATTGGCTATAATCAGATTGAGATTTGGAAAAGAATATTCCAAGAAGAGAAAAGTATATAAACAAGGTCATCTCTGCATGGAAAGATTAAGTGTAGCTGAGAAATGGTGAGTGGCACATTGTGGTTAGAACAAGTGCTGTGGTTAAGTTGGTTGGGGAAGTTATAGAGAATATAATTGAAAATGTAGATAGTTGCCTGGATGCCTAAGAACTCCATATGGTAGGCAAGGGAATTTGATCTTTTTTCCTCATAGCTAAAGGGAATATTTGAACAAGACAGCTAAAAATATAGAGAATTGTTCACAATTTTAAATGTGAACCATTTTGGGTAATGATGAAATCCCAGGCATTTGGGGGATGATTGGTAAAATGTAATGGATATACCAATTTCTGGATAGGTCAAAGGGAAGGAACTTCAAATACAGACTCTGGATGGATTGTACATATTGGGCAAAAAAGGTGGCCAAGGATAGACATAGGATTGTTAATGGTGAGAAAAACTTAAATTCAGGCACTGAATCCATCAATATATAAAGAGAATGTCTAGAAGGTTACATATGATACTATAAAGACTGAGATGAGTGCACCTGGGTGGTTTAGTGTTCAAGAAGAAGCAGCTTTGACAGAAAGTTGAGATGTGACCTGAGGTCTCTGATGGTGGGCAGGGAGAAGGGTATCTTTCTTTCCTTTCTGGAGTCATCTTGGTTCCATAGAAACGATAAGGTTCTATTATGAGAATCTCAAGAGAAGTATGGCATTTAGGAAATATCTATTTATGAGAAGAGGAGATGACAAATATAGTTTTCAAATGGCTTAGATGGGGAAATATGTTTACTAGAAGATGAGAATGCTAGAAAGAAATGGAAAAACTAGAACAGACGTTCACCAAGAGATGGTAAAAGAAAGAGAAAAGTGACTGATAGAGCAAATGGGACAGTTTGTATTGTATTGTATGATATCTGATGGTATTAGGTATGAGGAATATGAACAGAATTCATATTCCTTGTGATTCCCAGTTGAATGTTGACATCAAGTAGGTAATTATTAAAAGACTAATGATGACCAAAGCCAATGTTCAATTGAAAAGTGCTGACTGAGGTTGCCCCAGTTGAGGCCTCAGATAATATTGAGCATTTTCTCACACTAAATTTGGCTGTCTAATTTGGATGCTAGAGAGAAGTCCTTACTCAACATGTCAAATAAGATATTTTGTGAGTGGCTGGGCAGTATCCAGTCTAAAAAGTAATGAGTTAATTCAGCCCAGTGATCATACTGATTTTTAGGAAGTACATATCCATCTTCCCAATACATTGTCCCTGGTGATAAAGAGTCCCAAATCCAGGGTGTAATAAAGCAGCTAACAAGAAGGAAGACAGAGGTAAAATTAATAACCAGTATTTGAATGAGTATATTACTGGAATAGGACAATGAAGAATTAAAAATGAATTCTAGACTTCTAGATCATGTTATAGCGGATAACTTAAAGTTACAGATAAAGATACAGAAACATAAAAGAAACAGGAAATTGGGGTAAGGGTAATAAGTGTAGTTTAAGGTGCGATATAATTGAATTAATAACTCAGGTTTTAATATGTAAGCTATGTGTGGAGAGGACAAGTCAGAAATTTGGATCTATATATAGGTGCATTCAAATATTGGCTCTGTGACTAACAAGGCTCATTTTTCCTTGTCCACACAGTGGATCAAAATTGTTTAACACAATAGGTGGCAACTGGTAGATTGTTTATCAGCAACACATTCATTATTCAACCAATACTGTAATAATTTATAGTAGCCCTTGTAGATAGATGAAATTTAACTCTACTTAAAAGTAGGGAAGGTAGGGTTTCCTGGGTGGCTCAGTCGGTTCAGTGTTCAACTTCAGCTCAGGTCATGATCTTCGTGGTCTGTGAGTTTGAGCCCTGCATTGGGCTCTGTGCTGACAGCTCAGACCCTGCAGCCTGCTTCAGATTCTGTGTCTCCCTCTCTCTGCTCCTCCTCTGCTCACGCTTCTGTCTCTCTCTTTCTCTCAAAAGTAAATAAACATTAAAAATTTTTTTTAAAAAGTAGGAAAGGTAAATAAAGGAAGGACTATGGTGAATAAAATCTGTTTTTCAAGAGTAGTCAAGTTTAGATTATTAAAAAATAACTTGTTTCACATTTTGATATTTAAAAGTCTTTCTTTCCTTTCATATTATTTCATACCCAAAATATCCACTTAAGATAATGTGGACATACTTCTCAGAGGCTCCAAAACTCAACATAAAATGTTGATGATCCTGTGGAATGCACAGTAATTTCTTGAATGTGCTCTCTTTTACTTGTAATTGATTTTCTACTCAGTTTTCATATTTCTGTGCTAGAATGGAAGATATAATTTCACTTTATTCCTCACATAATCTGGAGTGTTCTTTTTCTCATTGAGTCTGGCTTCTTCATGTATAACTTCACTTGTTAGTGAGCTTTCATATCAAGAATGACAAAAATTCAATCAGTTACAGTGGATAGTTACTGTCAATTTCCATTTTGTCATTTTTACTAATAAAAATAAATTCTTCTAGGGTAAGAATACATGCTCTCTAAATAGTTATTTATTCATTTCTTGAATACATATGGATCTTTAAAGCCAGAATAATCTCACACTCACTGAGAAATCTTTTTTTTTAACTTCTATATAGCTATTGAAAAATTAAAGGAGTGAACTTTCAGATAAAAAGTTAGAAAAATACTTTAAGAGACCATTTAACAAGTAAAGTTGGATTGCTTCTTTTTATGCAAGTAGCTGGCACAGATTTCAAGTTTTAACCATATATTTGCCTTACTCTACTGTTGAAAAACGAATAGACACTAAAATTTTTCTGAAACAGTTTTTCTTCTATATGAGATAGTTTTCCTAAAATCAAAGTAAGTTATTCATAGTAAAAATGGGAGATTTAATGAAGTAAGAATGTTTAGAACTCTCTTCTTAAGACATATGTAACAATAAACGATTATAAGGACTTTGACTTCTGTCTGAGTGAAACTGGGAGCCATTTCAGGATTTTTAAACAGAAGATTAGCATAGCCTGACTTACATTTTAAAATAAATCACTTCAGCCACTGTGTGAGAAGGACTATAGAGATGCATGAGAAGTAGGGAGGCCATTCTTAAGCTACTGTGGTAATTCAGGTGAGAGAGAATGGTGGCCTAGACCAATGAAAGTGATGAGAAGTAATAGGAAATATTTTGAGGAGAGAGCCTGTAGGATTTCCTGAGAGCTAGGAGACTCAGATTAGGGATGTGACCTGAACAATTGGAACTGAAAAGAAGCATCGAGGGGGGTTATCCATGATGGAACAAGTTTGGAATGTAGGGTTTACAGTCTTGCTTTAGACATGTTGAGTGTATAAGTGTGGAGTTTGTGACTGATGCTTGGTTGGTGATATAATTTTTGGAGTTGTTGGCATATAGATGCATTTAAAGATATGTGATGATAACAGAAAACTAAAGGAGAAAGTTTAGATACAATAAAAAAGAGCTGTAAGTGCTAAGATAATGATCAGTCCTGGAAAAGAAGAAGATAGAGAAGTAATGTCCAGTGTAGGAGGAGGAAAACGAAAAGAATATGGGAGCCAAGTAGAGAGCATATTTCAAGAAAGAAGGTGAGACCAGCAGTGCCAAATACTCCTAAATAGAGCAGGTAAGATGAAGATTAGGAAACCAACATTAGATTTAACTATGCAGGTCACTAGTGATAATGGGTAATTTCAGGGAAACAGAGGTGATGAAAGCCTAACTGGAGTATATTTTAGAGCAGAGGAAATAAAATTGAAAAAGGGAATAAACACAACTCTTTGGAAGGGTTTTGCTATGAAGCAGAGGAAAAAAAAAGGGTAGCTGCTGATAAAGGAATGGAGCTTTTTTTTTTTTTTTTTTTTAAGATGCGAGGACTATACTATAGAATGTAAACACTCTACCAAGGATTTTATGTTTTAAGAAATAGTATAGTAATCACAGTAAAAACATCAGCTTTCGAGTGAGAGTGTATCTTAGCACTAGTTCTGCCATTTACTGGTTTTGGGACCTAGGACAAGTTAATTTAGCTTCATAAACCTCAATACACTGACCTTTTAAAAAGAATGACAATACCTGTTTCATATTTTGTTATTAAGATGACATGATATATTTTGGACATACTATGATGACTGAAATATGTAGTCAAATTATGTCATGTATTATTAAATAGCAAATTTTCTGTCTTTTAGTGTACAGTCTAGAAATGGATTGTATGATCAATTATAGTACAAGAGATATATGCTTAAAAAATACATAAAGATGCTACAGGCACTTAGAAAAATGGTAAATAACCATTTTTAATGGAAATGAAATCAAATAAAAATAATTCTAGGTTGAGGTCACTGACTCTATTGGCGGAATCAAAAACTCACAGGAAAGATAATACCCATACAACCATGAAAGAACAGAAGAAAAATATATCAGTGTAGTTATTCCAGCAATGCTAATGTTTTTCAATTTATTTGGGGGATTTTGGGGGGATTTTTAAATTGACTTTAGAATTAGTAGGTGTTTTTCTTGAATTGTTTAAATGATGGCACATATCTATCAGTTGAAAATTAATATGATTTCTTGTAATAGGTAGGAATAAGTTTTCATTAAGTCAGAAGAATAATTTTAGTCATTGAGCTAATTAATAACATTTATAAAGAATCACTTATTACATGAAAGTCATTTGTTTGTCCATAAACAGTTACTGAACTCCCACTCTATCTAATGCTTGTGTTTCTAGGAACAGAATGAAAAAGTTTTAAAACAGAATAAAATACCAAAAACAAATGATCTTTTTTCATTTGGCAAAATCAAACAGAAATACAGCAAACACATTCAGTAAGAGAGTTCACATCAACCAACAAAAGAAAAAGTGGCCAATTATTTCTAATGATATAAAAAAAGAGTTTACAGAGAGGGTAAAAGAGTATCTTGAAGGATAATTAGGTATTCCCAAGGTGGGCAGTACAGGCAATGTGCTTGCTCTTGACAGATGGAGGACCCTTAGCAGAGACATGTTTCCTCAGTTTACATTTAGGGTAAATAGATCAGATACAGAATGACTGGGTACAGGGGCAGGGAGAGGGGCTAACTCCAGAGATAAAGGGGCACAGATAGGCAGGAGCCAAGCCACTGGGAGTCTTGTGTGCTGTGCTAAAGGATTTGTATTTTATCTTACGAGAACTGGGGAATCATTGAAGAACTGTATAAGCAGAACTCATTTTGTGCAATAGAAGAGGATTTTCAAATTGAAGAACAAGTCTTTGGTCAAAGGAATTAAGAACCTAACCAAAGAAGGAAGATAAATGTTGTCATTATCATAGAGGAAAGAGAAGTTGCTTCAGCACAGAAGGAGCCATGAGTATGTAAAAATTGAAAGCCACATGTCATGTCTCCACTGATTGTGGTAACACTAAGATTGGGATAAATGGTGCTATCTAACAACATCCTTGGTGTTCTAGAAATTTCGAACCATATTTCTCAGAGAAAAAGCACAATATTGGGGAGTCCAATCATCTCCCAAAACAGCCAGATCTTGTAAAAGGGCTGACATATAATGGGTTGGGAGGTTTTTGGTGTTTTTTCTTTTTTATTTGAGGTGGGACAAAAATTGATTGTCAGCGCCAGCACTGGAGACCCCAGAGAAATGACTGAAAGCTAGTGGAGTAGTGTCAGGAACAGTAAGGAAAAGTAATCATGAAATAAAGCAGAAGTAATCATGAAATAGCCATAGCCAAGGCCTGAGTCTGTTGAGATCTGAGTAAAGTAAGGATTTGAGCAGGAGAGAGGGGATAGAAGAGAGCAGGAAGGCATAGATTGTGGCAAGAAGGTGATTTCTTCTTCTTGTTTTAACATGTCACCGTTATATGAGAAAGTAGGAACCAGTCACCCAAAATTAGATGGCAGCTTACACAAGGCATAATTGTTACCAAGAAATGTGATTGTTTAAATACATTAATAATTGGCTTTTATGGGAAAATGGAGATACATATGTTATTAGGTAATTTCTTCCTTCTTTGTTATGGAATCTACTTCCCTCAACCCCTAATAGAGGGTATCTCTTACATCCGTGAATACAGTCTGTGAATGATTAATAATTCTGCTTTCTCCAATTTCCCTTTTAATCAATTTGTTGATGTGGATTGGATACTTGGCTAGTTTTCTAAATAGATTTTTTAATCTATTGAATAGTGCACTCAGTTATCTATGAGCATGAGCATATTTATCACATCACTGAATCACATCGACTGGTAATATTTTTTTAAAAAAATCACACCCTTCACTTTAAAAAAAAGAGAAAAAAGAATCCTTGATCTTTATTAGATAAATGATCCTGCCAAAATAAAGATTAAACTTACATTTCATTCCAGTTGACCAAGAAAAAGAACAATTTTTTGACTGGAATGTTTCTGTAGCTTCTCACTTGGCACAACTTCCTTCCAGCATATGTAAGGCAACAGGAAAAAGAAAATGCTTTGTAGCTAAAAAAATAAATAAATAAAAATAAATAAATTGATTCAATAAGCTGAAGACTATAAAGAAACCAGTTTTCTATATGGGTCAATTATTTTTATAGGTAAAAGTCAAATGAAAAAGTTATATTTGCTTGTATAAAGTATACTTAAAAAATTACTTTAAAAATTTATGTTGGGTGACATCAGGAAGCCCTAGACCCTCCTTCCCTCAAGGGAACACCAATTCAGCAATACATGGATCAATCCCTTTTGTGAGACATTTAGGAACAAGAGCCTCCAGCAATCGAGGCAAGTGCAAACCAGTCACAAAGAAATCAGTAGGAAAAATTGTGGCCCTCCTTTTCCAGAACTCCTCCCCTAGCAGAGTGCAGTGTGATCAGGAGGAAACCCAACTCCCAGCTTCTCCCTGGGGTGGGAAAGAGAAAACTGAAGCATATGCCCAGCATTCAGACTTTTTTAGGGGGCTATCCAAGGAACTAGTTTCTGTCCTGCCTAAATCTAAATGCTGAATAGAATGGGTGCCAGGTTGGGGGTATCTGAGAACAAAGGCAATGGCTTGAACTAGCACACATTCCCTTGCCTCTGTCCTTTCTCCCGCCTCATTGTAAAATGAAGAGGAGACAAACCCAACTTCTGGCTTCTTCCTGGGGAGAAAAAGAGTTGGGCTGTGCCCAATGTTCCAGCCATTTGGGCGGTGGCCCGAGGGGCTGGTTTCTGTCTTACCTAACTCATAGCACAGATGGGACCTGGCAGGAAGGAGCTGAGAACCAAAAAGAGCTGGGGAGCTTCCAGAAGCACTGGTGACCTTGTAGTAGCATAAACAGACACTAGGGGGAACAAAAAATTATGAGTCCCAGCGGTGCCTGGGTGGCTCATTTGGTTAAGCAGCTGACTTTGGCTCAGGTCATGATCTCACAGTTTGTGGGCTCAAGCCCCATGACGGGCTTTGTGCTGACAGCTCAGAGCCTGGAGCCTGCTTCAGAGTCTGTGTCTCCCTCTTTCTCTGCCCCTCCCCTACTCGTGCTCTGTCTCTCTCTGTGTATTAAAAATGAATAAATGTTAAATTTCTTAAAAATTATTAGCTCCTGAAAAAAGAAGCAAAATGTCTCTAATTGGGAATTTACACACACAAATCCAGAGAAAAGTTGTGAAGGCACCAGAATCTCTAGTTGTACTGATTGGTAACATTTTTTCCCTATATGAAACCAATCTATAAAAACTGTATTCTTTAAAGTACACAGACCCCACTACAAAGTACCAAGGCACACAAATAAAGAGGGAGATTGGCCCAACAAAAGGAACAAAATCAACTCCAGAAACCAAACTTAAATAAATGGAACTATACGAATTACCTGACAAAGAGTTCAAAATAACCATCACAAAAATGTTCAACAAGCTTCACAAAGTGATGCATGAACAAAATGAGAATATCAACAAAGACAGAACATATTAAAAAGAACACAGGTATTTTGGAACTGAAGAATATAATAACTAAAATGAAAAAAAAAAATCACTAGAAAGGTTCAAGAGTAAACTTGACCAAGCAGAATAAAGAATCAATGAACTCAAAGATACATCATTTAAAGTTATCCAATCAAAAGAACAAAAATAAATAAGAATGAAAAAAAAGTAAAGAAAGCTTTATGGGACACCATCTACCAGATGTGTACATACATTATGTGAGTGCCAGGAGAAGATAGAGAGAAAAAGACAGAAAGCTTATCTGAAGAAAAAGTGGCTGAAATATCCTCAATTGTGTGAAAGGAAATGGACAACTAGATTGAAGAAATCCAACAAACTAAATTAGGATGAGTCCAAAGAAGACCATATTAAAATACATTAAAATCAAATTATCAAAAGTCAAAGACAAAGAATTTTGAAAGCATCGAGAGAAAAATGACCCACCACAAAAACAGAGATCTCACAAGTTTATCAGCAAGAAACTTTGCTGGACAGAAGGGAGCGGGGATGATATATTCAAAGCTCTGAAAGAAAAAAGTGCTCATCAGGAATACTATAACGACAAAAGTGTCCTTCAAAGATGAAGGAGAAAGAAATAGTTTCCCAGATAAACAAAAGCTGAGGAATTTTGTCACCACAAGACCTGATTTACAAGAAATACTAAAGGTAGTCCTTTGAAGTTAATATGAAAAGATGCTGGCTAGATAGCAATACAAAAGCATACAAAAGTAAAAAGCCCACTAGTCAGAGCAAATATGTAGACAGATACAGAATACAGTAAAACACTTTAGTAATGGTGCATGAGCCGTTAATAACTCTGGCATAGAATTTAAAGGACAAAGTGTTAAAAGATTATAATTATAAAAATATGCAAAACAAAAATGATGTAATTTGTGATATCAATAACAAATGCTTTATATTAGGCCCATGGTCACCACAAAAAAAAAATGCCTACCCATAGAAGATACACAAGAGAAAATAAAGGAATAAAGTATATTACGAATAATCAACATAACACAAAAGAAGACAGCAAGAAAGGAAAAGAGTAGAAAGCAATGGAAAAAATGACAATAGTTAAGACCTTCCCTATCATTAATTACTTTAAATGAAAATGCATTAACTCCACAATCAAAAGAAATAGCATAGGGGGCACCTGGGTGGCTCAGTCAGTTAAGCATCAGACTGGCTCATGTCATGATTTCACAGTTCATGGGTTCCAGCCCCATGTCAGGCCCTATGCTGATAGCTCGGAGCCTGGAACCTGCTTCAGATTCTGTGCCGGCCTTTCTCTCTCTGACTCTCCTCAGCTCACACTCTGTCTCTCTCTCAAAAATAAATAAACATTAAAAAAAAGACATAGCATCGTTGAATGGATAAAAAAACAAAAAACAAAACAAAACAAAAAACAAGATCCAATTATATGCTGCCAACAAGAGACTCACTTTAGATTTAAGGACATATATGGGTCAAAAGTGAAAGGGCAGAAGACAGTCCATGCAAATGGTAGTCAAAGGAGAGCAGGGGTTGTCTTACCTACATAAGATATGATAGACTTTCAGTCAAGAAATATCACAAGAGACAAAAGTGGACATTATATAATGATAAAAGGGTTAATTCAAGAGGATATAACAATTGTAAATATATACACACCCCAAACTGAAGCAAATATATTGATCAAACATTGACAGAACTGAAGGAAGAAATAGATGGCGACCCAATAATAGATTTCAATAGCACATTTTCAGTAAGGGATAGAACAACCAGATTGGATCCAATAGATAAATAGAGAACATTCCACCCAACAGCAGGAGAATACACATTCTTCTCAAGCACAAATGGAACATTCCCTAGCATAGATCATGTTAAGGTCACAAAGCAAGTCTTAACAAAGTTGAGAAGACTGATACCATACCATATGTATTTTCTGACCATAATGGAATAAAACCAGAAATCAACAGCAGAAAGAAAACTGGAAAATTAACTAATTTATAGAAATTAACATTTTTGAACAATCAATACATCAAACAAGAAATCAAATGGGAAATTAGAAAAAATACTGATACAAATGTAACTGAACACACCATACTAAAATGTATGGGACGCAGCAAAAGCAGTACTAAGAGAGAAGTTTACAGCAGTAAATACCTACATTAAAAGAAGAAATATCAAAAATAAACAACCTAACTTTATATGTAAGGAACTGGAAGAAGAGGAACAAACTAATTCTAAAGTTAAAAGAAGGAAGAAAAAAATAAAGCTTAGAGCAGAATTGAAGAAGAGAATAGAAAAATAATGGAAAAAAGCAAAACTGTCATACCATATATAAATGCAGGATCTGTACATGTAGTTTTATCAGTATTTATCTGCCTAAATTTTCCATGTTAATTAAAATTGATACATATTTTCTAATGGTTAAAAAATGTAAGAAATTTATTATTTTTATTATATTATACACCAGACCTTTAAATTTTCAAAAAATTAAGAAAAAGGCATAAAAGAATCATCCATGGGTTTAAAGAAATATGTGTATATGTAGATAGTGTTTTTTACATACAAAATCCAATTTTTCTTATTAACTTCATAAATATTTGTACAGTTTAGTTATTTGCAAAAATACAGATAGCAATTTTTTTTTTACTGTAAAGGTTTCTACTTTTCTTTGAGGTGCTAAATGAAGTGGGTACAATAAATCCATTTATAAATTACTACTTCTTATCAACTTTCGTTGATTTAATCCACATTCTCTTAATTGATTTAATCCATGAGGTATTTAAAATAATGATTAAGTGTGCCTGGGTGGCTCAGTTGGCTGAGCATCCGACTCTTGGTTTCGGCTGGGGTCATGATCTCATGGTTCGTGGGTTCAAGGCCTGCATCCAGCTCTGCATTAATAGCATGCAGCCTGTTTGGGATTCTCTGTCTCCCTCTCTGCACCTCACTCCAATTCTCTCTCTCAAAAACAAATAATAAACATTTAAAATAAAATAATGATCATAATATGAATCTAATTATGTTATTCAAGAAAATACTACATAATAGAGCTAACCTAGAACCTAGTGATGCTCCATGCATAATTGTGGTTAATTTCAATGTAACTCAAATTATCTTGGCTAATTCCAACTTTATCAAGGTACTAATTTCACAAAACATCTACCACTCACAACTTGATGAGTATCAGAGTGATTTTTTTTCCCATTAAGTACTTCTCCCTCTGTGTGCTATCTCTCTGTTCTGTTAATTAGCATTGGTCTTTTAAACTCAAACATTAAAAAAAAAACTAGGGCAATTACTGAATAGGTTGAGAATTTTCTGCTTCCATAATGATATACCGACAATATGCAGCTAATTTTAATATGGAGAATGGGAGAAGACTTGAGGGAAAAGGATGCACATTTGGTAATGAAGTTTTTAAAAATGGTTTTAAGAATTTAGGGGGCGCCTGGGTGGCTCAGTTGGTTAAGCATCGGACTTCAGCTCAGGTCACGATCTCACAGTTCATGGGTTCGAGCCCCGCGTTGGGCTCTGTGTTGACAGCCAGCTCAGAGCCTGGAGCCTGCTTCAGATTCTGTATCTCCCTCTCTCTCTGACCCTCTCCTGCTCATTCTCTCTCTCTCTCTCTCTCAGAAATAAATAAAACATTAAAAAAAAGAATTTAGATAAATCTACACTGATTACATTTCAAAATCTTATGAAATATTTGCTCCTGCAAATAAGAATAAGACACATTATGCTCTAATTAGAAGCCATGCAAATATTAACTAAAATTTTCGTGAAAAACTCACCACCACTTACCTGTGCACCCAAGTCTCTGGAAGGTTGTGAACTGCATACACTGTGAAGCTAAGGTGGGAATGGAGTCCAGGATTTACATAGGAAATCTCATCAGGTACATTTAGAGGCTGGAAATCTGCATAAAAGCTGCGGCAATGGACACTGATTAGCTGGTAGATGGCCCTGGATAATTCAGTTGTCAGTTTCTCTATCAAGCCTAAGAGAAACAAAAACAAAAACAGAAATCAGGTCATCTGTGAAGGGCCATACTCATTATAAGCCATCAATTACAGCTCTGAAATTTCTTATGATAAATTTTAAATAAAATTTAATTAAAATGACCATCTATCAACTGACACCAATTAGCCACCTGTGCCTTTCTATGCAGCCTGAATTAGTTGATAGTGGTATAGATAATCAATAAGGTTTCATATCTTCAGTTGCAAAATCTTGGAAGCATGGCCTTTTATCATAAATCAGAGTTTTGGGTTATTAATTTAGCATTCTTTAATTTGAAATATTTTTTATTCTAGTTTATGATTGTTCAGAATTAACTTTCAGACAAGGAACATGGCCTTAGAAGTACTTCAAACAAATCCTATCTAAAAATGAATCATAATAAATTAGACTATGCTAAGATGTTTACCATTAACTGAACACTAATCTTATACATTGCATTACTGTAAAAGGAGAAGAGTAAAAGTACCTGGATGGGATCTGAAATAAGTTTGAAATAAAAGATTTTGATAGTTACTAAATCTCTTCAAAATTGATGCCTTACTTAAGTTTTGCTATTAGTTATTTAAAAGGAGTTTAGTCATTATTCCTAAATGTGACTTGTCATGAAGGAAAAAAAATGAAAAAAAAAAAAAAAAAAAGAAGACAAAGTATAGGGGCTAATAGTTCTCAAGTGTGTACTAAAAGGGTCACCTAATCAGTGAATTTAAGGTAACCTTTCCTGGCTTTCTCTCTCCCAATAAACTCCCAATAAAATTCCTACCTGAGAGGAAGGAAGTAAAAGAGACTAAGGAAATGGACCAGGTAGTATAGGTAGTGGACTTAGATCAAAATCAGGAAAGATGGCACCATTACAATGGAGAAGCGTGAGGATGATGAACATTATTGTAGGGGTGGTTCAATGTCAGACCTCTTAATGGGGCCAGTAAATAACACCAACTGCTGACATTTTTTTATGCAGTAGTGAATAACTGAAGGAATATACTCATCATATGCTCACAATCTGAATTGTTTTAATAATCTAATTGTGTTTCAAAAGTTAAATGAAGAATAAACTCAAATATAGAAGCTCAAAAATGATTTTTAACCTAAATCAAGAAGATCTTCAACAAATATTTAAGTGATAAAAGGATTTAGGAAATGAAAAGGATGTATGAAGGGGAATAAGTTGTGAATGGAAGCTCTGGTGGCCTCCTCGGAGTCCCTCATGCCTGATGGGCTTTGCTGAAGGGGCCTCCAGGAGGGTAGCACAGAAAGCTATGGTAATGGTCAAAGAACCCCTCGGTGTGAATCAGCCCTTTGTCTTCACACAGCATCTGTCACGCTTCATCCAATTGCCGAAATAGGCCTCCTACAATCCTACAAATTTGTTCTAGAGTAAGGCAGATAACTATTGAGAGAGAAAGCAGCCTGATCTGATCTGAATGTTATCCTTTCCCGTCCTGGGCCAGAAGAAAAGGACTGAAATGCCACACATTACTTCTACTTTTCCGCCACGTCTTCCCGGAGAAGTGAAATGGAATCGCAGCTTAACCTGTGGAGGAAGACGGCGAAGGAATCTGTGTTCTTTGGTGACATCCATACCCAGCTGGGCACAGCTTTGAGAGCGGGGCCTCGAGGCCCCCTTCAGGAGCGGAAGATCTTATCAGGAGGCCTGATCCCTGTGTCCCCAAGGGTCCTGAGCACTGCTCTGCCACTGGACCAGGCCACCCACCAAATAATGCCGCGGTTGTTGAGGGACAGGCAGAGCCAGCCTTCTGAAAGAGCTGTGGCGCCAGGCACATCAGGCTGTGAATGATGGCACGGCCGATCTCAGAACTGTTCTGCTGCCTCGCGGCTGCCGGGTGGATGCAGTTTAGGAAGCCACTTCCCTTCTGGCTCTGTCTTCCTAATACCCTCTGTCTCGTGCTTCCAGTAAGACTTGGGCTGATTCAGCTCTGTCGGCTAGATGTGGGCGCCTTCCCTCAGCAGGTCTGCGCCGACTCTGCAGACCCCCGGCACGTGTTTGCTGATGTCAGTGCTTTCTGTCGCGTGGGTCACGGAGGAATGGTCGATTTTGTGAAGCTTCAGTCCCAAGCTTGCAAGGCAGGACACCAGTCAGTGTAGCCTGCGACCTAGTACAGTCGACAGTGCAATTATAGGAGGCGTCCGCCCGGGACTGGAGGGCCTGATGAGGAAGATGTGCTGCAAGGCCTTGCCCCTGGAGGGGTCCAGGCTCGACATCAGTCCCGCTGTAGACTTCAGGTTCCTCTTCCGCACGATGAGCGGGGACTGTGGTTCTCCCCATCCCAGATGAGGTGTCCCAGACACCCCTGCGGCACGTGGCCCCGCCCACTCTGGCGGTGGCTCCGCTAGCTTCCGGGCGCGCAGGGATGTGGGAGGGGGAAGGGGGAGGGGCCCAACTCCAGGAAGAGCCCGCAGGCTGAGCCCTGGCGCTGAGGAGTCAAGAGAACAAGTAAGTGCGTCGTTATTATGGTCTTAAAGCAGGCAGTGATTTTGATTTGATTTGATGTGTGTCAAGTGAAGTCACACAGTACCGCTATTTATTGAAACGCATGCACTTCCTCGTCAGGTTGTTTCTGAAGCATAAATTGCTTGTAGTTTCTAGTTGTTTTGAAAAGAAAATAACAGAACTAGGTTTTAAGTCCATCAGTCTGCAGTGTTCCAGTACCAGACAATTTGGTACTCAAAAATCATGCCAGTTTCAGCAAAGAGATTCTTTGAACCCCACCCATCCTGCCCCTCAGAAGCTCTGTCCATAATTAAACATTTTTTTTGTTTCTCAACACATGCTGTTATTCACTTAGTTATTCCTAAGTTTGTACAAAATTTATAAGATGGCCATATTTTACTTTAAATGGTGCCCCTTTTTGAAATCAGGCTACGGGGATGAGCAAATTGAAATAAGCCCTAATTAAAATTCTCAGAGAAATCAGCAGTAGCAGTTAATGAAACAGAAGAGCAAAGCAGCATAAAAAAATCATTTTTAAAGAGGACTCAAATTCTTGAGGCCAGTCAACAGGGATTCTCCTGAACAACGTGAGGCAGGGAATTATAAATATATAGAAGCATGTTTCCCAGTCCCACATCGTGCTTTTGGTACTCTGAAGCAGGAAGTACAAACTTCTTAGTAATAATTCCCAATCTTGTGCCAATGAATATACATCTAAAATAAGTCATAAAGTTGGATCAAAGATCTTATCAATTCAAGCCCCAGCACGTATTTTGGGAAATCTTAATTATGTGGATAATTACCCAAACTCTACTCTTGACTTTTTCTGCACAAATACAGTTCTTGGTTATAAATTGCTTCTTTGAGGTAGTGTAGAGATGTGTGCTTATGCCTTAATGCTTTACTTCCAGAGCTCTGGATGAAGAGTACATTTCAAATATCATCAGAAATGTGCTAGGGACTCAAGATCCTGGGTTTGGTGGTGAAATACGGAGTAATAACATTTATCACCCCTGACTTTATTCTGGGAAAAGAGTTATAACTCTTATATATCATAAGTTGAGAAATAGTGACAATATATATTTGATTAAAAGGTGTTAATAAGGGGCACCTGGGTGTCTCAGTCAGTTAAGCGTTTGACTCTTGGTTTTGGCTCAGGTCATGATCTTTTGGCTTGTGAGTTCCAGCCCCATGCAAGGCTCTGCACTTGGGATTCTTTCTCTCTCCCTCTCTGTGTCTCTCCCCTGCTCGTTCACTCTCCCTGTCTCTTTCTCAAAATAAATAAATAAACTTAATAAAAAGGTTTAAAAAATAAAATGCATTAATTAGAATCTGTGATGAGTTAGCATTGAATATAAATTTTTGTGAACATTTCTACACAGTTCTCTGGGATCTTATATCCCAACTCCTTAGGATATGGGATGAAGGGATTTTATTCCAACATTCCTAAAAAAAAAAAAAAAAAAGGATGAGAGGTCCGGTTCCATATGACATATCTCCAGCTTGTTCACTCCTCATTCTATCACTTGGACTCTGTGTTATTGATATTGTTAGGGGGTGTCCATCCTTTCCCTTCTTTAATGATGTTCTGGATTTTTATGAATGCCTGGAACAGGGATTTTTGTGCTAGTGGTTTGTTTGTTTGTGTTTGTTTTTTCTCCATGCCCTCTGCCATCCCATATTCCTCTGTGATGTGAAGTGAGAGAGTTCTTCAAATGTAATTGAATGTCTTCTTTTGAGTGGTGGGAATTAGAGTTAGATATCCCTCAGCACATTCCTTTCTCCTAAAAATGATTAAGGGAATGGAGGACAGGTTGGGATTATCATTTGTACTTCACGTGACCTCTAAACCTAGAGTGTTAGTAGAATATCTGCGAGTCCATTTCCTTGAAGATACTCCTAGGGTTCATATGCCGGATACCATTTGCCTGTGCAAACAAGAACAACTCTGACCACAGCCTGCACATTAAATAACTATCATGTCTGATAAGCATATTGGAGAAATTTAGGATCAAAGACTTTAAGTCCCTAAAATCACAGAGTCAAAAAGTGGCCAGAGTTGAAATTAACCAGATTCTAAAAGCCAGATCCTTTGCTCTATACCACACTATTACACATCCACTGTTTTCTGTAGAGGCAAAGTCCTCCTGTGGCTTGCAGTTTTATAGGCTCAGAGCCTCTGTGAACACTAATTATTCCAGGACCAAATCCTCCTACATATTATGTTAGATTGGTCTTTCAAATAGTATTTGAATTTAAATTTGAAATTAGTAACTTTGAAGAAAGACATCTGCTACTTTTCAGACTCTTCTGACATCAAAATATAATTAGCTAAATAAAATTTTATAGTTCTTGGAATGGTTATAAGAATATTTTCAGTATTCCTTTCTTTTTTTATAGATCTCTTGACTTTTCCCATTTCTTAAAAATGTCAGGCTAAAAGTTTACAGTGTTGATTTTTACTTGCAGAATAATCATTTCCATCAGTAAAAAGAGTTTAGCAAAGCATTTATACCTCAAAAAATGTTCGTGTGTATGTGTTACCATAAAATTTGGATAAAAAATTGAAAAGAATTCAGTTATTTTGGGTTCTATAACTTTTTAAGATGTGAATACATGTATTTTTTACCTTTTGATGAAGCCTCTGAATTTTGATGAAAATTCTGAAAAAGAAAAGTAGTACAAAGGCACAATAGTTATTTAGAAAACAAATTCACAAAACAACCAAACTGATTACATCCAGATCTAAACACTGAAATGTCTGTTGCATGATAAAAAGACAAAATATTTATTGGTATCATATGTCAATGTTGCTTAACAAACAGAGGGAATCTAAATTATAAGATAAAAGAAAAGCATTCTAAATGTTTCAATAAACCATCTAGGTTTTTTGACTGAAAAAAATTAGAATAAGCTCAGCCTGTTTAGTATTATTAGAACAGTTCTACAAATATTGGCTAAACTCATTTCCTTCCCCAGCAGTGAATAATTTTTTGAAATAAGTGAATTTTAGTTCTCTCTGTGTAATATGTCCAGTTTTTATTATTAGCAGACATTCACTTGTGAGCATTGGGCTGCTATGCGAAAAACGGCTGGATGGAAGTGGGCAAAATCGGGGGCACCTGGGTAGCTCAGTTGGTTGGTTAAGCATTTGACTTTGTTTCAGGTCATGATCTTACGGTTCATGGGTTTGAGCCCCCTCACCTGGAATTCTCTCCCCCACCTCTCTCTCTCTGCCCCTCCCCTGCTCATGCTCTCCTTTTCTCAAAATAAGTAAATAAACTTAAAAAAAAAAAAGTAAGTGGGCAGAATCATACAGATTCATGCTATAGTTTCATTTCATTATTTTTGGGAGATTTAAAGAAACTGATAGTAAAACACTTGTGACCATATTCTAAATAAAAAGTACCATCTGAAATTTTATTTTTGTCACTTTAGTTCATATTCATTAGTATGGTTTTATTTATTTGCTTGTTTGTTTATTTGTGTTTATATTTATTGGAGACCAGGAATTACTTTAGTGGTTTAGAATTTGCTGGTTATAACTTCATTATCATGAAAACTATATATGGTGACACACAGATTCACAAAAATGAGGTTTCAGTCCAAAAGCAAACATTTTCTAATATGTTTATCCACTTTAATTGGCACTACATTTCTTAAAAATTTTGCTTTAAGTTTGCTTTTAAAGCCCAGTTTCTGAAACAAACTAAGGATAATTGTGGGTTCTTTTGTAATCAAGAACTTGCTACAATATTCCTTTTGAAAGAAAACACTTTTATCATGTTTAAAATGTAATTAAATTTATGTATAGATTTTCACCTGAGCCTTTTCAGAGGTTTCATCTGAATGTAGTTTCAACCACTAGGCTTAACATCCATGTGGATGAGACCATTAAGAATGTTAGCCTGACTTAACTAGAATTCAGTTTATTCAGAAATACAAACTTGTATTTTAAAATCACCATGACATCCACCTACAGCACAATGTGTAAGACCATATTTTTCACTTTGTGTTTCATTTATTGTATGAACGTGTAATGGAAATATATTATGTGAGATTCTGGAATATAATATTGAAGGATGGAAAATTGTTTCCACTGCTGAGTGAGAGCATGAACAAGAGTATAATTGCATTTGTGATATAATTCATCATCTTGCCAAAACTTACATTTAATAAATACCTAATTACTTCTGTGTATGGCAGGAAATAGTCTCTTACAAGTTGACAAAAAAAAAAAAAAGGCAGCCAAGGGAAAGAGAAGCCTTTCAAATTTGAGTTTGTTGGCAGAAGATTCATTTTTCTCAGTATTTCTTTAATCTTTGGTTCATGGTGGGTAGACAGACTGAGGTACTTTGGCATTGTTAACTGCAGTTGGTTACTGCACACATTCTGAAAATGTGTACTTACTATTTCTGCCAATATTCTTATATAGGTGGGCTCATGGATTAGGATGGAGAAAGAGAGGAAAGTGTTTGAATGAAGGTGATGTAGAATAAATGAACTTTTAAAGTGTGCTCAAAATAAGTAGAATCTGTATATTTTATTTTTAATTATTTTTTTAAGTAGTTTCCGTGCCCAGGATGGAGCCCAGTGTAGGGTGTCAACTCCGACCTTGAGATTAAGACCTGAGCCGAGATCAAGAGTTGGATGCTTAACTGACTGAGCCACCCAGATGCCCCTAGAATCTGTTTATTAAGGGTTTTAAACTATTTTTCCCATTGAAATGTATGAAATAACACTGGTCATTGTCAACTCTTTATTTCTATGTGTGAGTAATCACATATGAGTTAGTGCCCATAAGTATGCAAGATATGTGAAATGTGATTATTAGCTTTTCATAAGAAATACAATTGTCCAGTTTTCCTAGGAAATACTCATTTTCTCTTTGAAAGATTCTTTTGGCTTCAGCTAGATTGAAAGTTTGATATTTCTGAGAATATTGTCATTTTTGTTCTTTTAGGGAGTTTCAGAAAATGAATGTTTTAAGATAAAGCTTTTTGTATTGTGTAATATTTTTAATAACTTTGAAGTGCTTTATCCTAAAATTAGATTTTCCTTATTCTTTGATCAGTTATTTGTTTGTATTCATTCACTGAGAGCCGTACATAAAAACTGAAGCACAACCAAGTGGTCTTAACAGATGGAAAGACATGTGTTCACATTCATGCATGTGGTCTCCTCCTCTGGCAAAGGCTCACATTTGTCACGATGCTGGCTATAATCAGTAGACATGAGAAAATGACCTATGCGGTGCTTGTGTGAATTAAAACCTTCATGTTGGTTACATGGTGAGGAATCACAAAAACTACCACCAGCACCATCCCTACTACCTTCAGTAATAAGGACTTATGCAAGAAACATTATCATTTGGACCTTCATTAACATTAATACTCATAGGAACCCTGCAGATTCTATTCTATTCTATTCTATTCTATTCTATTCTATTCTATTCTATTATTTATTTATTTAATTTATTTCTGCAGTGAGGAAAGCTGAAATCAGATATGAATTAATTTTCTGAGGGATATTCAGCTAAAAACTGGTAGATATTGAGTTCAAATCGTATTTGAATGACCCTAAACTCTGTATTTTATTTCCAGCTCTAGGTGCTTGTATGTCTCCCAAATGTGATGATCTAAGAGAAATTAATTGCAGATTAGAGCCTGGAGCCTGTTTCAGAGTCTGTCACTCCCTCTCTCTCTGACCCTCCCCTGCTCACGCTGTCTTCTCTCTCTCTCGTAGAAATAAATAAAACATTACAAAAAAATTACAAGATACAAGTTTATGTTGGACCAAGCTAAGTCAGGTAATGCAGGTTAACTCAGATTTTCCGTAGTCAAATTCCCTGCAAATAACTGTGTGCTGGGAGTCAGTTTAGTTCCAATAAAATGTACTGAATGGTACCATGTAACTATAAAAAGCCACTGTCACCAGATTTTCCTCTCCTATTTCTTTTTTTTTTTTTTTTAATGTTTTATTTCTAGGAGAGAGAGAGAGACAGCGTGAGCAGGGGAGGGTCAGAGAGAGAGGTAGTCACAGACTGAAACAGGCTCCAGGTTCCGAGCTGCCAGTCAACACAGAGCCCGACGCGGGGCTCGAACCCACGAACCGCAAGATCATGACCTAAGCGAAAGTGGGACGCTTAACCAACTAAGCCACCCAGGCGCGCATCACTTCACATGTTTTACCTTGTCTTTTCTGAAGACAATGCATATTAATATGTACATAGAAAAACAGCTTTGGAACCTACAAAGTTATTCTATTTTCTTCTATAATTGGAAGATAAAAGAGTAGATATTTTCCCATTAAGAAAAATATAAGGAAATGAACACTTATTAATTTCAGACATCCAATTTTTATATTTATTGATTATATTGCTTAAATTTTTATTCATGCTTTGAAACATGAACCTTTTAATGAATGTTTATCTGAAAAATCTTTTGATAGGATGATTCCACTGTTCCTGGGTGATCACTGTCGCTATTTATGTATGCAAATAAGGTATTCACATTTCTATATTCATTATTACTCCATAATTACAAAAATAAGTTCTAATTAAAATAAGACATAGATTGGGGTGCCTGGGTGACTTAGTCGGTTAAGCATCTGACTTTCGCTTAGGTCATGGTCTCGCGGTTCGTGGGTTCGAGCCCCGCATCGGGCTCTGTGCTGACTGCCAGCTCAGAGCCTGGAGCCTGTTTCAGAGTCTGTGACTCCCTCTGTCTCTGACCCTCCCCTGCTCATGCTGTCTCTCTCTCTCTCTCTCTCTCTCTCTCTCTCTCAGAAATAAAAAAAAAAAACATTAAAATAAGACATAGAAAATCCAACATTTGAAACAATGATGATGATTTATATATATATTAGTATAATTGTCCACTTTTTAAATCAGTCTTTTGGAAATTGCAAGGTTCGCATATTCAAGGTAATATAATTTGTGCTGTTCCTTTCCATTCGGGTAAAGAATGCATGTAACAATGTCTTATGAAGTTTCACATATATTGAGGAAGAGGCCTGGTTTCAAAATTCTATTTGGCCACTTAATAATCCTCTGTACATGAGCATTCTAAGCATCTGATTTCAATAATAAAATTAACATTAAAACACCAACTTCATGGTATATTGCTGTGAGGATGAACCGAAATAAAATAAAAGACAAAGTAATAAATAAGTGAAACTCTTTTATTTTTGCAGTGTACTATCAAGTATTAGTTATTATGATCATCATATATTTCCGCTTCATCATTTGTGAAACTAATAACAAGAGTGAATGGATTTATTGTGACTAGAATTCCTAATCTTTTTCTTGGGCAATAATCACACCTATAATTCTATAAGAGATTTCTGAGATTTAAAAAAAACACATAATACTTATTTTTTAAAATTTTTTTAACATTTACTTATTTCTGAGAGAGACAGAGAGAGAGAGACAGAGAGAGAGAGAGAGAGTATGAGCGAGGGAGGGGCGGAGAGAGAGAGGGAGACACAGAATCTGAAGCAGGCTCCAGGCTCTGAGCTGTCAGCCCGGAGTCTATGTGGGGCTCGAACCCACAAACAGCGAGATCATGACCTGAGCTGAAGTCAGACACTCAACTGAGCCACCCAGATGCCCCAGTACTTATTTTTTTAACTAAAAAAAGAAAAACAGGTATTAAAGCATGATACAACAAGCATGCATTGAAAATTCAGCAAAAGATACCACAAAAAACCTGGTCTTTTTCCCCTATACGTGTGCTTGTCCATGCAAGCATGGATACTTACCCCTGAATATACTCGTGCAAATGAAAGCCATTAATAGTCTATACAAACACTTGCCTGTGAATGCTATTATATAATTATATTCTTATAGGTAGGATGGTAGAATAGATTTCGGTCTCACTTGGAAGATTCATGGCAGTTACAAACTTCAAAGGTGTAAGAAATTTCCTTTAAATTTAATCAAATCTTTTTGGTATAATAGAATCAAGTTTCCATTACCCCCAAATAACTGAAATACATATGTGCACATGCAAAGACACACACAGACACAGTAGTCAAAATTCTTACACTCTTCTTAATTATTGAACTCAGGTTTAAAATAATTACAATTACTGTCTAATAAATGAGTATATTTACCTCTGCTTTTCTCTGAAGAGTTAGATTTAATTCATTTATAGCATCTGTAATTTGTTTGGTCTCCACACACCCCAGAACGCTGCATATATTTTTTACTTCTTCAATAATATCTACATTTTGCTATGGATGAAAAATAAGAAAATGCAGTTTAATTCAGATGCATTTTAAGTCTTTTCCAGATTAAGAAAACACAACTACTCAATTATAACATGGAAAAGAAAAATTTATGGGTAGTTCATGTGGAAAAAGCCAGTTATTTTATTTATATGAGCTCAATATGAGTCTCCAGAACAGCTAAATGACAGTGGGAGGGAATGATATGTTCTTTTGTTTTGTTTTGTCTTCCAGAACAACGCAGAGGAGAAAAATTTGTCATCAGTCTTCTCCAAGGTTCAAAATATTTTTTAGATACGCTTAATGTCTAAAGTATTAGAATGCTGCTCTTTCAGAGTCTTTGATACACCAAATATTTCCCAAGACAAGCTTGGAATATAGCACATAAAATAACAAAGCTGTATCATTGCCAGTATTCAGTAACTCAAAGAATCACCAAGATAGAAGGAATTTAGAGGTAGTCCAGTTCAATTCCTATGTAATGCAACATTCCTGACTGCTTGCATACCTGTAATGTGGAATAATTCTCTACTGACAGGACAGTCTCTCAAGTTTTGAGCAAATAGTTTTTACAGAGATTTTTCTAATATTTAGTCAAGATGAATGTCTCTAAGTTTGCAACCATTTATTCTAATTTATCATTCCAGAACTACTTACAGTAAAGCTAATTACCTTTTCAGTTGAACAGCCATCAAATACTTGAAAATGATTATCATGTTTCCTTTTTCTTCTCTTTTTTTTTTCCCCAAGCTAAAATTTTCTAGTACCATCAACTACCTTTACTTTATGTCCATTAAACTACAGTCTTATGGCTTAGGTCTCAGCACTTTGTGTACTCCATTTGTGATCTAGACTCTCTTTTCCTTCTAAATATTAGATGATCTGAAATGTTAACCTACCCACCTTTCCATTTTTCCTTCTTCTGTATTTTATTTGGACAATCATATCCAATTCTTGGCCAGGTGTCACCTCTGTGAAAAATATACTCAAATCTAGCCTTAATGTCTCCTGAATTCAAGTGCAAATACATGTTTCATATCTGAAGAATCTCTCATGTGACAGATCAGCCATCATAGGATTTGTAAATTTTAAGCTGATTATTCCCCTTTTACCAGCGTTCGTGTATGTGTGTGTATATGTTAGAGGAAACTCCATGGTTTTGGAGTTTAGAAAAGTGTTTCCTTATAGCAGTTTTGCATTTGCCTCTGCCTGGGTCCAAAATAGTCACTATATTCTGGCACAGTTTTTTGGAATATATTTCACAGCTACTCAGACAATTTTTCAGGTAATCCTTTTCCACACTCAACGCTCTTGGGTAGAGATAGCCTTTCTCAAAAGTTCTCTTGGTCTGTAGGCATTGTTTTTCTTCTCTCACTTTTTACAGGTGACAGTCTATCCAATGTCAGGGATTTATTCAGAGATTTCAGATCCATATCTACTCATTTCCCTACTTGCATCAACTGGTTTAGGTCTAAAATCTTAGCACTTGTCCGATGCTGTAACACCAGTCTCTAAGCCTGAGGACCTAAGTCTAATCTGATACTTCCCTCAGGCCATTGCAGCACCGGTGTTGGTGCTTTAAGTTTCTGTCACCCAGAAAAAGCAAAAACCTTTGGCTCCGGGGGAAGGGGAGGATACTCTGTCTTGAGTCCAGGATCCTACGTGAATACGTATCAGAGACCAGGTGCCAGTGGCAGAAAGGGCAGAAAATCATGTTCTGTAGAGGACCATTTACAGACAGAAGGCACAGTTTGGCCGCCATGTGGAGGGGCAGGGTTTCTCAGAAAGTTCCAGTCTTGAAGCCCTAGGACACAGTCTGCCTAAGGCTATGATTGGCCACTATAACACAGATCTCCCTTTGCCTTACTACAAAAGATGAGTCTATTTTTTTTTTAAATGTTTTATTTATTTCTGAGAGAGAGAGAGACAATGTGAGCAGGGGAGGATCAGAGAGAGAGGGAGGCACAGAATCTGAAACAGGCTCCAGGATCTGAGCTAGCTGTCAGCACAGAGCCCGACGCGGGGCTCGAACCCACAAACTGTGAGATCATGACCCGAGCTGAAGTCGGACGCTTAACCAACTGAGCCACCCAGGTGCCCCAAGATGAGTCTATTTTGAGTAATAAATAAGAGCAGAGGGTCCGAGGGCAGAGAGAAAAGTATGGAGATGGACCATCTCTGTGGCATAGGCAAGTAGGGGCTGTTGTAAGATGAAAGTGAAGCAAGAGCACTGGCGAAAGAATTCTGGCACCACGAGCCGCCCCACTGTAAGTACAGGTAATAGTGGCTGAACACTATAAATTTGTCACCCATTTATGATATAAACTCTGAGCCAACTAGTAATAAAGGGAAGTTTCTTCAACCTAGTGAAGGACAACTAACTTCAGGCCGTAACTACGTAAACTCCAGATAACTTCATACTCAGTGGTAAAGGACTGTAACTTTCCCCTTAAGATTAACAACACAGCAAGAGACCCATTCTTATCAGTTCCAGTAAAATTCTACTGGAGATCAAGGCAAAGAAAATCTATATATAGAGGCAGCAAATCATTAGTTACATGGTATCCAGGATGGAAGGCATTTATTGCAAAGAAGCACTTGGGCACTTTTTTTGTGTGTAATGGAGGTATTTTATATCTTGATTTCTATGGTAGTTACATAGGTATATGCATTTTCAAAACTAGTCAAACTATATAATTAACATGAGTGTGTTTTAGTGTATGTAGATTAAACTTCTAAATAGTTGATTTAATAAAGACAAATCATAGTGAACGTGAAAAGACAAGCCAATAACTAAAAGGAAATATTTACAATACACATAATCAAATGAAGAGCAAATATATACGTAGTTCCCATAAATCTATTTGAAAAAGATAAGTTAACGTAGAAAGTAGATGTAAAATTTGACTATATACATCAGAAGAGATGACAGTTTGATGTTATATTTAAAAGTAAAGAATCATGAATTTATTGTATTCAGGAAAATGAAAATTAAAACAGAATTGAGATCACAACATCTCACTTAGGCAAAGGTAAATTTATTTTTATTTTTTTTTTCTTTCAAGTTTTTACTTAAATTGTAGTTAGTTAACATATAGTATAATATTGGCTTCAGGAGTAGAATTTAGTATTCCTCACTTACATATAGCACACAGTGCTCATTACAACAAATGCCTTCCTTGATACCCACCACCTGTTTAGCCTATCCCCCACCCACTGCCCTTCCATCAAACCTTCGTTTGTTCTCTGTAGTTAAGGGCCTCTTTGTGCCCATCCTTGCCAACACCCATTGTTCTTGTCTTGTTAATTTTAGCCCTTCTGACAGGTGTGAGGTTGCACCTCATTGTGGTTTTGATTTATATTTCCCTGATGATAAGAAATGTTGAGCCTCTTTTCATGTATCTATTCTGTATGTCTTCTTTGGAAAAATGTGTATTCATGTCTTCTGCTCATTTCTTAAATGGATTATTTGCTTTTTGGGGTGCTTGAACTTGGTAAGTTCTTTATAGATTTTGGATACTAACCCTTTAGCAGATATGTCATTTGCAAATATCTTTCCCCTTTCCTTAGGCTGCCCTTTAGTTTTGTTGATTGTTTCCTACACTGTAGAGGTTTTTATCTTGATTAAGTCCCAGTAGTTCATTTTTGTTTTCGTTTCCCTTGCCTCCAGACATGTCTAGTCAGAAGTTGCTCCAGCTGAGGCCAAAGAGGTTGCTGCCTGTTTTCTCCTCTAGGATTTTTATGGTTTCGTGTCTTACATTTAGGTCTTTCATCAATTTTTAATTTGTTTTTGTGTATGGTGTAAGAAATGTGGTCCAGGTTCATTCTTCTGCATGTTGCTGTTCAGTTTTCCCAACACCGTTTGTTGAAAAGACTGTCTTTTTCCATTGGATATTTTTTCCTGCTTTGTCAAAGATCAGTTGATCATACATTTGTGAGTCTATTTGTGGGCTCCGTATTCTGTTCCACTGATCTATGTGTCTGTTTTTTGTGCCAGTACCAACCAAACTGTCTTGATTACAGCTTTGTAATACAGCGTCACGTCTAGAACCATGATGCCTCCAGCTTTGGTTTTCTTTTTCAACATTACTTTGTCTATTTGGGACCTTTGGGAGTCCATACAAATTTTAGGATTGTTTGTTCTAGTTCTGTGAAAAATGCTGGTAGTATTTGGATAGGGATTGCGTTAAATATGTAGACTGATTTGGGTATTAAAGTTATTTTAGCAATATTTCTTCTTCCAATCCATGAGCAAGGAATTTTTTACTATCTCTGTGTGTCATCATCAATATCTTTCATCAGTGTTTTATAGTTTACAGAGTACAGATCATTCCTAGATATCTTATGGTTTTTGGTGCAATTGTAAATGGGATTGATTCCTTGATTTCTCTTTCTGCTTCTTCATTATTGGTGTGTAGAAATGGAACAGATTTCTGTGCATTGATTTTGTATCCTGTGACCATGCTGGATGAGTTTATCAATTCTAGCAATTTTGGGGTGGAGTTTTTCAGATTTTCTACCTGGAGTATCATGTCTTCTGAAAACATGTAAAGTTTGGCTTCTTCCTTGCCAATTTGGATGCCTTTTACTTCTTTTTGTTGTCTGACGGCTGAGGCTAGGACTTCCAGTACTATGTTAAATAACAACAGTAAGAGTGGACATCCTTCTCTTGCTTCTGACTGCAGAGAAAAAGCTTTCAGGTTTTTTCCATTGAAGATGATCTTAGCTGTGCATCTTCATATATGGCCTTATGATGTTGAAGTATGTTCCCTCTATTTCTGCTCTGTTAAGTTTTTTTTTAAAGATGGATGCTGTATTTTTGTCAAATGCTTTTTCTACATCTGTTGAGAGGATCATACATTTCTTATCCCTATCTTTTATTAATGTAGTGTATCACATTACTTGGTTTGCAAATATTAAAGCACCACATAGTCCAGGAGAAAATCCCACTTGATCGTGGAAAATAACAATTTTAATGTAATGTTAAATCGTGGATTTGATTTGCT